CGGCCCAAGAGGCACCCAAGCCGGTCGAGTATGCCTTCAAGAGGGCTCCAAGAGGGTTCACGAGGGGGCCAAGACGACCCCCGAGGCGCCCAAACCGCCTAAGAACGCCCCCCAGTAGCCCAAGAGGCCTTTCCGGGGAGCCTCCACAGCGCCCCAGGAGGGCCCAAGACGCCTCCCAGGAGCCCCAGAATGCGAAAGGATGGTCCAAGACGCTCCCAAGCAGCCCAAGTCAGCCTTCCCACGGCTCTCGAGGCTCCCAGGTGGCCTCCAAGAGACCCCAAGAGAGGTCCTAGAGGCGTCCCGGGACGGCCCGAAGATGCCCAAATCGTTGATTTTCGTATGTTTTTAACATGGTTTTGGCTTCTCGCGTTTTCGAGCTTCCAATGGTCCAAGAGCACCGAAGAGGCTCCCAAGACCGCCCCAAGACCACCCAGAGACCCCCAACACCCCCCCGATCTTTGAGAGGCCCCCAAAAGACCTCGACGAGGCTCCAAGAACAGCCCAAGAGAGCTGCGAGAGTTGTCCCGAGAGAGCCCAAAGAGGGTAAAATCGTTGATTTCCTATTGTTTTTCTAATGTTGTTCGCCTTCTCACGTCTTCCCGTTTCCAACCCTCGAAGACCAATTATTTTTTGGGAAAAATTGCCCTGCGACGTACCCAAACCTTTCTACACATGTGGCGATTACATTCAGGACCGCTTAATGCAAGCCTCCTAGGGGGGGGCGAGGTCCCGAGGTGGTCCGCTTGGGATGTACCTCCGCTGGGCCTCCCAGGAGCCCACGAAAGTGGCGACCGTTGTGCAGATCGCAGGCCCTCCAAGGGGCGGCGAGGTCCTGAGGTGGTCCGCGTGGGACGTACCTCCGCTGGGCCTCCCAGGAGCCCACGAAAGTGGCGACCGTTGCGCAGATCGCAAGCCCTCCAAGGGGCGGCGAGGTCTCGAGGTGGCCCGCGTATGACGTACCTCCGCTGGGCCTCCCAGGAGCCCACGAAGTTGGCGACAGTTGCGCAGATCGCAAGCCCCCCAGGGGCTGGCGAGGTCCAGAGGTGATCTGCGTACATCGTACCTCCGCTGGGCCTCCCTGGAGCCCACGAAAGTAGCGACAGTCGCGCAGATCGCAAGCCCCCCAGGGGGCGGCGAGGTCTCGAGGTGGTCCGCGTATGACGTACCTCCGCTGGGCCTCCCTGGAGCCCACGAAAGTAGCGACAGTTGAGCAGATCGCAAGCCCCCCAGGGGGCGGCGGGTGGTCCGCGTATGACGTACCTCCGCTGGGCTTCCCAGGAGCCCACGAAGTTGGCGACAGTTGCGCAGATCGCAAGCCCCCCAGGGGGCGGCGAGGTCCTGAGGTGGTCCGCGTATGACGTACCTCCGCCGGGCCTCCCAGAAGCCCACGAAAGTGCGGACAGTCGCGCAGATCGCAAGCCCCCCAGGGGGCGGCGAGGCCCTGAGGTGGTCCGCGTGGGACGTACCTCCGCTGGGCCTTCCAGGAGCACACGAAAGTGGCGACAGTCGCGCAGATCGCAAGCCCCCCAGGGGGCGGCGAGGTCTCGAGGTGGCCCGCGTATGACGTACCTCCGCTGGGCCTCCCAGAAGCCAACGAAAGTGGCGACAGTTGCGCAGATCGCGAGCACCTCAGGGGGCGGCGAGGCCCCCAGGTGGTCCGCGTGGGACGTACCTCCGCTGGGCCTCCCAGGAGCCCACGAAGTTGGCGACAGTTGCGCAGAACGCAAGCCCCCCAGGGCGCGGCGAGGTCTCGAGGCCTCCCAGAAGCCCACGAAAGTGCCGACAGTCGCTCAGATCGCAAGCCCCCCAGGAGGCGGCGAGGTCTCGAGTTGGTCCGCGTATGACGTACCTCCGCTGGGCCTCCCAGGAGCCCACGAAAGTAGCGACAGTTGCGCAGATCGCAAGCCCCCCAGGGGGCGGCAAGGCCCCGAGGCGGTCCGCGTGGGACGTACCTCCGCTGGGCCTCCCAGGAGCCCACGAAAGTGCCGACAGTTTCGCAGATCGCAAGCCCTCCAGGGGGCGGCGGGGTCCCGAGGTGGCCCGCGTATGACGTACCTCCGCTGGGCCTCCCAGAAGCCCACGAAAGTGCCGACAGTTGCGCAGATCGCAAGCCCCCCAGGAGGCGGCGAGGTCTCGAGGTGGTCCGCGTATGACGTACCTCCGCTGGGCCTCCGAGGAGCCCACGAAAGTGCCGACAGTTTCGCAGATCGCAGCCCCCCAGGGCACCGCGAGCTATAGTGGTGATCTGCGTATGACTTACCTCCGCTGGGCCTCCCAGGAGCCCACGAAAGTGTCGCAACCCCTAGGCACTCACACCCAACAGACAATACGGCGAGGCAGGAATTAGAAACCAGACGGCACGAGAGAAGAGGAGAAGGGAACACAGGAAACAGGAGAGAAGAAGGAGAGGAGAGGAGGAGGAGGAGGGGAGGAGGAGGTGGAGACCAAACTGTTCTATTCACAAAGAGAACCCAACACAGGAGGGTTGGGAAAAAAGGAATTTCCAGAATTCCCTCTTCTTTTTCAAAGTGGGACTCCGACTCGGAGATCCCACACATCCCCTGACATCTGGCCGGTACAGCGCCTCCCGGCTTCCCGGGGGGCCCCCAAGACGCCCAAGGACAGCCCAAGACGACCCCGAGGAGCTCCCAGAACGTAAAGAACGGCCCAACACGCTCCTGCGCAGCCCGAGACACCCTTCCGACGGCTCTCCAGGCCTCCAGGAGGCCTCCAGAACCCCCAGGGGGTCCAGAAGATCCCACACCCCTGAGGGGCCCGGCTCACAAAACCCGCGAGGCACAACCAAAAGACAGCGCCGAACAGCGCCAAGGAATCGGAAAAACATGGAAATCCTACAATCTTTTTTTTTCAAGTTGGGCCCCCGGTCTACTCTTGCACAACAGACCACAATTCAGACCCCCTCACCTCCCCCCCAAAAACCCAGGAAACCTTTGAGGGCCCCAAATCCTTGAATACCTAAAGGAAACTAATGGTTTTTGCGTTTCCGCACTTCCCCTTTCTATATGCTTCCGAGGCGTGCGCAGGGCCTGCAAGGGCGTCCCTGGACGCAGGACGCGACCAAAATGATATTGCATGAGCTGGCCGATCAAGCCTTGCCAGAACTTAAGCGCGCGCGAAGCGCGCGCGATGGTTATAGTTTTTTTTGTTGAAAAATAAAAATAATGATGATGATGATGATGATGATGATGATGATGATGATGATGATGATGATGATGATGATGATGATGATGATTATTATTATTATTATTATTATTATTATTATTATTATTATTATTATTATTATTATTATTTATATATAATTATATATAAATATATGCGTATGCATCTGTATTTGAGTAGGCCCCGGGAGGGCCAAAGTCGGTGCCTCCAGTTCGCATGAGGGGCCCGGCGGGCCTGTCTGTTGCAAACGGGCCCTCCAGGAGGCCCTCAAGGGCGCGAGACGGCACCGCCGCGCTCCGAGCACGCTGACCACTGCTTCGCAACGGCTCGCGTGGCCTCCACGGCGCCCCAAAGGAGCTTCCCGCCGATCCCCGGGAGAGGCTCCAGTGCGGGCAATATTTGTATTCATATCCGCTGCGTCATGGAGTTCCGGGTTCCCTCCCCCCACCAGAAACCAGAGGGGGCAGTGGAGGTGGATGCAGATTTGGCCCCTGGAGGCCCGCGTTTTTTTGTCCTCCTCCTCCTCCTGGAGGGGAAGGGGCAGTGGACGTGGCTGCAGATTCGGCCCCTGGAGGCTCGCGTTTTTTTTTTTGTTGATCGGTGTCCTCTGCGCCTCGGCCTGCCGGCGTCCCTTCCCAGAGCGTCCACGACGCAGCGGATGGCCACATACGGTCAAAAACCCTGACAAGGACGCGCGACTTTGGTCAGGGTGCCCTTGCCTTCCTTGCTCTTCCCTGCTCCTTGCTCTTCCCTGCTCCTTCGTCGCCCGCCGCCCCCCAAACCCCAACCTCGGCCTCCAAGGGTCTTGCGTCCTCACCGCGCGTCCTTCTTAGGGTTTTTGACCGTATCCGCATACATCCTGCGCGCATCCAGGGGCGAAGATCACGGATTTCCCGCAGGTTCTCCGAGGACCGTCGTGCGCTCGCTTGCTCCGCTGCCCGGCGCCCGGAGACGGCACAAGGGGCGCCCAAGAGGGCCCCGAGACACCCGAAGAGGGCGCCGAGACGGCCCCAAGAGGGGCCCAAAATCGCTCCAGAGGGCTCCTTGCGGCCCCCCAAATGAGCTCGGACACGTTACAGGGGCCGTAAACGAGGACCACGGGGCTCCAAAACGGCCCCAGCACGCCCATTATTGCTCCGATGCGGGCTCAGGGAGCCTCCGAGGCGCACCAAGAGGAGATGTCACAAGACCCGCCGAAGAGGGTCCCAAGACACCCGAAGAGAGCGTCAAGAAGGCCCAAGAGGTGCCCAAAATCTTCCAAGAGGGCTCCGGGCGGCCCCAGATGAGCTCGAGCCCCGCGACCGCCCTGAACTTGGAGGCCCCCCCCGACGACCTCGCACCCCCTGAGAGAAAAGTGATGCACGCGCGGGGCCCTCTCTCCTGACACCCTGGACTTCACTCGATGCGCACTCACAGCGTCTTCGGAGACGAGTAGAACCTAAGCGCGCGCGCGTAGCGCGCGCGTAGTGCTAGTCTATATATAGATATATGGATACACAGGCATATTTACACATGGTTCTGCGTAAAGTGCGATCCATACATTGTGGGCTCTGCACTATATGTCAGCAAGTTCGTCGTCGTTGCGATTGGAGGTGATGAGGGTCGTCTCGGCACTGTGGCCCTTGCCGCCTCTGCTTCTGCCGCGGCTGCTGCTGCGCCAGCGCCGCTGTTGCCGATCTGGCAGTTGCCGCCATTGCCGCTCTCGCTGTTGTGGCAGGCGCGCCCATCGATAGTGGCATTGCCATTGGTGCCGCTGCTGTGGATGCCGCTGCAGCCCAGAGAAGGCTCATGCACAGAGGGTTTGCCGCCGCCTTGGCCAGGAAGCTGAAGGACACCGTCCTGTACTGGGGCCTGCTCTTCGCCTTCAACCTGTACATCCCCTGCAGCATTCTCTGGCGCGCGGGGTGGGTGGCTGCTCCTCGATTCTCTTCTTCCTTCTCGTACCCACCCCCTCCTCCCCCTCCCCCTCCCCCTCTTCCCATCCACCACCGCCTCGCGCCCCTCCCTCACATCCAGTGTTTCCTCCTCCTCCCCTCCCCCTCCTCCTCCTCCTCCTCCTCCTCCTCCTCCTCCTCCTCCTCCTCCTCCTCCTCCTCCTCCTCCTCCTCCTCGGGTCGCCTGCGACCCCGGGGGAGACCGTGCACGTCGGCCTCCCCAGGCCACCCCATCGGGCAAATGGAAACATCATGACGGGAGGCCTTTCCATGTCTTCGGCCTCTGGGGGCCCTCATACCAGGCTTCGGGGCCGTCAGAGAACGGCTCGGGAGGCAAAGCCGGTCCCGGGGAGCGGATCGAGACCTCCAGGGGCGGCGTTGCGAATCAATTCGGGCGTCGGGGATCCGGGGCGAGCGGTTCAGGCTGCGGGGGCGGGTAGCGAGAGCATCTGGGGTGCGCCTCATCGGCGCGGCAACCGCTGAAGGGGCCAGGACTCACCACCCATCAAGCCACCCCCAGCCCAAGGCGAAGGCTCCAACCTGCCCTCCTTTCCCAGGGGGGGGGAGGGACTTCGGGGAACATCGCAAAAGCACAAGCCGAAGCCGTCCCTCCCCCCCCCCCAACCCGAAAGTTGGGTCTCTCTGGGCTGGGCTGGGGTGGTCTGGTAGGTGGTCGAGGACGGGCCTGAATCCAGGAGCGCCTCATCGGTGCAGCGAGCCGGGACAGAACTTGAGCAGCATGCGGCCTCAGAGCGCCTCGCCGCGACGAGGCACCCCCCAGGCTGCCCAGGGAGCGGAGCGTGCGGGGCTGCCGGGGAGGGCTCCGGGTGGCCTCGCCGGGGGCGCCGCTGCGTCGGGTGTTGCTCGAAGTGCCCCTGGCCTTATGTCGGGCGTATCCCCCCTACAGGGGAATTTTCGACGAAAAATTAGACATACTCGAAACATACCCCGAAAAGTTCAAAACATACTTAAAAAACATACTATTCTTGGACTATTTTTTATTTTTTTGGGGGTATTTTTTATTTCTCGTCGAAAATCCCCCTGTAAGGGGGACAGGCCCGACTTAACCCTGGCCCAAGGTGCCCCCAGCTGTTCGCTCAATTTTGGAGCCTCTGGGGCCCTTTGGGCCTCGCACGGGGTGCTCTGGAGGCCGTGGGGGCCTCCTTGGAAATTCTGGGGGCACCCTGGGCCGGGGGCACTTCTGGCAACATCCGATTTGTTCGGCCGTGGCAGAGGGGGCAGGGGGAGGGGGGAAGGCTTCTTGGAAGCATCCTTGCTTCTTCGAAGGCGCGGGCCTTGCCTATAGATGCAGGGCCGGCGCCTTCTAAGAAACAGGGTGCTTCCAAAAAGCCCTGGATTTCTTGGGTTTCGATGGTTTTGCTATGGCAGGCGCGACTTTCCCACACCAGCATCCAATGGACGTCCTGGGGTCTCAGGGCTGGGCTTCTGGTGGAAGGTTTCTTGTGGTCGAGCTCCTGTACCACCCTCTGCGTGCCGCCAGGCAGTGCGTGCTGCGCCGCGCTCGCCAGTGCGTGCGGCCCCACCGGCGGGGAGGGCCAGCCACGCGCAGAGGGGGGGTGGGGGGAGGGGGGAGGGCTTCTCGGAAGCACCCCTGCTCCTCAGAGGGCGCGGGCCCCACCGGGGAACGCGAGGCCGGCGCCTTCTGAGAGGCAGACTCCTCCTCCTCCTCCTCCTCTTCCTCCTCCTCCTCCTCCTCCTCCTCCTCCTCCTCCTCCTCCTCCTCCTCCTCCTCCTCCTCCTCCTCCTCATCCTCCTCCCCCTCTCCTCCTCCTCCTCCCCCTCCTCCTCCTCCTCCTCCTCCTCCTCCTCCTCCTCCCCCCTCCCTCCACCCCCTCTCAAGCGCGCCGCCCGGAGGGCTCGCGCCGGCGGCCGCCCGGGGAGCCAGCCAGGCCCGGCGTGGGGGCCGCCAGGCTCCGGGGCCGCCGCGCGGCGCTCGGGCTGCCGCGCGGGCGCCGCGTCGCCCTCCGCCGTGCGGGCCTCCCCCGGCCGAGCGGCACGCGGCGGCGCCGAGCTTCGTCGCCGTCGACGCGCAGGCAGGGCAGTCGGACCGAGGTAGGCCTCGGGAGGGCGAGGTCGGTTCGGGGAGGGTGCCCCGATGCTCTTCGTGCCTGTGGGTGCTCTGCTTTGGCATCCTGGGGAGGGTGCCCTTGGATGTTCTGTGTGTTTTTTTGGCCGGTGGCGGGTCTCGTGTTCTTGAGGGATGTCCTCTCCCAGGTTCGGCTGTAGCTGGAGGCCAGGGCCACGATGTTGTGCTGGTTGTCGGCCAGGCAGCTGTGGAAGTTCTTGCAGTAGCGCCCTGTGCTTGGCCTGGCCGCCCTTGCGTGCTGTGTGTTTGGCGTGCTCGTCGCACCAGTCGCGCCAGCCCCCGACGAACATGGCTATGGCCTCGCCCTGGAGACGGTGGACCACCTCACTCGGGGTCTCCAGGTTCGTGTCGTTGTGGTGTATCCCTCCCCAGTGGTGGTCCTCTCGCCCTCCTCTTGTCCTCCGCCTCCTCCTCGTCCTCCTCGTCCTCCTCCTCCTCCGCCTCCTCTTCCTCCTCCTCGTCCTCCTCGTCCTCCTCGTCGTCATCGTCCTCCTCCTCCTCGTCCTCCTCGATATGGTTCTGGTGCCTCCTTTGCAGCGGCGCCCCCGCTGGGCCTGCGGAGCACAGGCGCGACGGGCTAGCCGCGCCAGTGGCGCCGTGACCCCGACTGCCGCTGGTAAGCGTCCTACGACCCGTCCGCAGGGCCCGAGCTGGCCTCGGGGCCACAGGAGCTGGCTGCGCCCCAGCGTCTGGCGCGCCACCTGTACCACTCCTCCTGCGAATCTCACCTCCTCCTCCTCCTCCTCCTCCTCCTCCTCCTCAGTCTCCTCTTCCTCGTCCTCCTCCTCCTCCTCCGCCTCCTCTTCCTCCTCGTCCTCCTCCTCCTCCTCCTCGTCCTCCTCCTCCTCCTCCTTCTCGTCCTCCTCGTCCTCCTCGTCCTCGTCCTCGTCCAACCCCCTTCTTCCCCCTCGGCGAGGGTTTTGCCGTTCCCCCCTCCCCGCTCCGTAGGTCTGGGCGAGGCGCCCCGTGACCCACTGGAGCGTCCAAGACGGCCCAAGAAGGCTCGACGAGGGCCTCCGACAGCCCCAGATGACCTCACATACGACTCAAGATGCCGTAGGACGCTCCCAGAGGCTCCAAGACCGCCCCAAGACGGCTCCAAGTGGCCCTCGCCCCGAGGACTCGTGCATCCTGGCGGCAACGTGCTTAAACATCTTGGGCTTCCTCCTGCTCCTGCTGCTGCTCCTGCTGCGGCCCCCCCGAACCATCCATGAGTTAACTACCCAGACTTCCTCTAACAGCTCTCAGAACTCCTAAACTCCTGATTATCCTCCGCCAGCCCCTCCTCTGCCTCGTCTCCTCCGTCGCCGCTGCCTCCTGGGGGCCGGGAGGCCCTTCCAGTGGTCCTGCAGGGACCTCGAGGCCCCGGAGTGCCAGAAGGTAGACAGGTGGTACATCAAGGAGTGCCTGCCGCTGATGGCGTATCGGCTCGCGCAACGGGGATGGGCCGAAGGGATAACGGTTCGGACACTTGTGGATGTTTTTGGCCAGTTGTGGCGTTGAGCCCTCCAGGGTTCATCGGAGACGCGTTGAGAGCCCCTGGGGACCTCGGGAAGCCTCTGGATAACTCCTGGGAAGAGGGTGAGGAGGAGGAGGAGGAGGAGGAGGAGGAGGAGGAGGAGGAGGAGGAGGAGGAGGATGATGATGATGATGATGATGATGATGATGATGATGACGAGGAGGAGGAGGAGGATGGGGAGGAGGAGGATGGGGAGGAGGAGTAGGGGTCATGAGGAGGGCTAGACGACGACGACGACCACGACGACGACGATGACGGCGGCGACGACGACGGTGACGATGATATGATGATGATGCTGATGCTGATGCTGATGAAAATGATGATGATGATGATGATGATGATGATGATGATGATGATGATGATGATGATGATGATGATGATGCTGTTGATGATGATGACGAAGATGATGATGAGGAGGATGAGGACGATGAGTACGACGGTGGTTGTATTTATTATTGTGGTGATGATGCTTGTGGTGTTCTGAGGGTGATGATAATGATGATGATGATGATGATGATGATGATGATGATGGTGGTGGTGGTGGTGGTGGTAGCGGTGATGCTGATGCTGTTGGCGTTGCTACCCTTATTGTTATTGTTTGTCTTTGCTGTTGCTGTTGCAGTTGCAGTTGCGGTTCTTGTTGTTGTTGTTGCTGTTGTTGTTGTTGTTGTTGTTGTTGTTGTTGTTGCTGGTGTTGTTGTTGCTGCTGCTTTTGTTGATGTAGTTGTCGTTGATGTTGTTGTTGCTGTTGCTGTTGCTGTTGCTGCTGCTGTTGTTGCTGCTACTGTTGTTGCTCTTGCTGTTGTTGTTGTTGTTGTTGTTGTTGTTGTTGTTGTTGTTGTTGTTGTTGTTGTTGTTGTTGTTGTTGTTGTTGTTGTTGAATATTATTACTTCTAAAGAATAATTATTGTTGGGCCCCCTGGTGCACGCCCCCCCGCCGCGCCTAGGCCGCAGCTACATTTTCATCATTTTCGTGAGGAAGCCTCAGGTAAAACGATGTGATCCAGATCCGGTTGTTTTGTTGTAATCCGTTTTCCCTTGCAAAAAACACTATAAAATGACATTTCTTGTTCTAATATAATCAAATTTCAAGAATCCCTTGCAAAAAATAAGGTAAAGTGGACATTCGCGCGCGCAAGACGAAATCCTTCCAAAAGCTTAGTGTTCGGAGCGATTTTAACATAAAAACATCAAAAAACCAATGGTTTTTCAACAAAAAAATGTCAAAATCTCATCCCGCGCGCTCTTGCGGATTCGTAGGAAACCCAACACTTTTTAAACATTTCTGTCAAACGGGCTTTTGCGAGCAACTTTTTCGAACTTCTGCAACAACGGTTGCGCACCTGCCAGGGCCATCATCCCTGTCAAATAATACCATGCGGGACACATTCGTTTTTTCTTCGCGCGCGCACGCCGTCGTCGTCGGCCGCGGGGCCCTGAATAGTAGCCACGGTCGTCCGCATGCCACGAAGTGAAGTGTCCGAACGTCATAGGGCGGGAAGCTGGGTGTGGGTGGTGGCGAAGAGTCGTTTGGAAATTTGGTAGAGCTTGAACCGGCCCCCCCACAAAGTGGGGGTATTGCCCGCCTCCTATGAAAACCCTGGCACTGGTGAGAACGGAGTGTCCCCACGTGCTAGTAATTGTTGTTGTTGTTGTTGTTGTTGTTGTTGTTGTTGTTGTTGTTGTTGTTGTTGCTGTTGCTGTTGCTGTTGCTGTTGCTGCTGCTGCTGCTGCTGACTGTTAATTACTAGGCAATTATTATTGTTGGACCCCCCCAGGCGCCCTGGCGCTCTCGCCTCGGCGTCCTTGAAAATGAGGCTCACGCTCGAGCGGTTTGGGGGGCGCCAAAACCGGCCCCCAAACAACAACAACGCTCCCGCTCGAGACTTCCTCCTTTTTTGCTCAGAGCTGGTGCTCTTGCTCGCCGCCGAAAACCGCCGCCCCAGCACAACTAACGCTCCCGCTCGAGACTTCTTCCCGTTTTACCTTGGACTGGCGCGCTACTCTTTCTCTCATCGGCGCCGCCCCCTGCAAAAACAACCCTCCCGCTCGAGACTTTTTTTTTTGTTGCTCAGAGCCGGTGCTCTTGCTCGCCGCTGAAAACCGCCGCCCCAACAAAACCAGCGCTCCCGCCCGAGATTTCCTCCCGTTTTACGCTGTGCTGGCGCCCAGCAAGAACAACGCTCCCCCTCGAGGCTCCCTTTTTTTCCTGAGGACGGTGCTGTTCCTCGCCGCCGACAGCCCCCGTCCTGACAAACCCGTCTCGAGACTCTTTCCCTTCTTAATCAAGGCGGTGTTCCTCCTCGCCGCCGACAACCGCCGTCCCAACAGAACCAGCGCTCCCGCCCGAGATTTCGTTTTGTTTTACGCTGGACTAGCGCCCAACTTTCTTCTGCATTGGCGCCGATCCCAGCAACAACAGCACCCCTGCTCGAGACTTCCTCCCTTTCTATTCAGGACCAGGTCCTTGCCTCGCCGCAGACAGCCCCCATCCCCACCAAACCAGTCCTGTCGCTCGATATTTCCTTGTGCTTTGCCCTTGTCTGGGGCTCCACTGGCGGTCTCATATCGGCGCAGCAGGGCGCGGGCATGTGTTTTCGCGGTGGGATAAGTTGAAATTCCTCGGAGGAGGTGTTTGCAAGACCTCATTGGGCGGGAGATCTGGGAATGCGAATAACGGACCCCCGCGATTGAACAATAATCCACCATAACGAGGATGGTTATCATGATGGTCGCATGCTGCGTGTGGAAGCATCTCGCATGAAGGTAACATGATTATTATTATTATTATCATTATTATTATTATTATCATTATTATTATTATTATTATAATTGTTTTTTTTGTTGTTGCTGTTATTGTAGTCGTCGTTGTTGTTGAATATTCATTTTTCAAAATTTGTTTTGATGATCTCCGGAAACGGTTTCGCCCGCTCTCGCCTCCACGCCGGCTGCATTTTCTCTGAAAACGAGGCTCCCGCTCGAGCGTTGGCTTGATTTAAATGTGGGCCCTCGGCGGCCCAGCTACGACGACAACGGCTCCCGCTCGATACGTCCTCACAATTTACCCCGAGACACCCTGGCCAGAGAGGCCCCCGAACTCAGGAGCGGCGCTCTCGCTCGAGACTTCCTCGTAATTCAATTAAGTTGGCGGAGGCCCAGCCACGACGACAAGGGCTCCTGCACGATACTTCCTCACGATTTACTCCGAGAGCTCCTGGCCAAGAAGGCCCCCGAACTCAGGAACGTCGCTCTCGCTCGAGACTTTCCCGTAATTCAGGCAAGTTGGTGGAGGCCCTGACACGGCGACAATGGCTCCCGTTCGATATTTCTCCATAGGTATTCCGAACCCCCTGGCCAGAGAGCTTTCCCCGACCATCCTGTGGTGCTGGGTCCTCGTTTGGAAGAGACGGTCTCCGCGTTCCCTCCCTCCCTCTTTCCTTCCTCCTTGCTTCCTCCTCCTCCTCCCTCCTCCTCCTCCTCCTCCTCCTCCTCCTCCTCCTCCTCCTCCTCCTCCTCATCCTCCTCCCCCCCCTCCTCACTCCTCCAATCCCTGCCTCTGCTATTCGCATGTCCACCATTTCGGCACACCCCTCACACGTTTCGTGGCCCCACAGGGAGCTCCACCGAAGGCTCCAGTGGCAGGGTCCGCATGTAGTTCCACCTCCATTTCGGCGTACCCCTAACACGTTTCGTGCCCCCATAGGGAGCTCCATCGAAGGTCCCAATGGCAGGGTCCGCATGCAGTTCCACCTCCATTTCGGCGTACCCCTCGAACGTTTCGTGGCCCAAGGGGTGCTCCACCGAAGGTCCCAGTGGCAGGGTCCGCATGCAGGTCCACCTCCATTTCGGCGCACCCCTCACACGTTTCGTGGCCCCATAGGGAGCTTCACCGAAGGCCCCAGTGGCAGGGTCCCCATGCAGTTCCACCTCCAGTTCGGCGCACCCCTCACACGTTTTGTGGCCCCATCGGGACCTCCACCGAAGGTCCCAGTGGCAGTGTCCGCACGCAGTTCTACCTCCTTTCCGACGCACCCCTCACACGTTCGGTGGCCCCATAGGGTGCTCCGCCGAAGGCCCCAGTGGTAGGGTCCGCATGCAGTTCCACCTCCATTTCGGCGCACCCCTTACACGTTTCGTGGCTCCAATCCACCTCCAGTTCGGCGCACCCTCGCTCGTTTCGTGGCCCTATAAGGCGCTCCGCCAACGGCGCAATTGGCAGGGTCCGCAAGCAGTTCCACCTCCATATCGGCGCACGCCTCACACGTTTCGTGGCCCCACTGGAAGCTTCATCGAAGGCCCCAGTGGCAGGGTCCGCATGCAGTTCCACCTCCAGTTCGGCGCACCCCTCACACGTTCTGTGGCCCCATAGGGTGCTCCGCCGAAGGTCCTAGTGGCAGGGTCCGCAGGCAGTTCTACCTCCATTTAGGCGCACGTTTCGTGGCCCCATAGGGTGCTCTGCTCCGCCGAAGACCCCAGTGGCAGGGTCCGCATTCAGTTCCACCTCCAGTTCGGCGCACCCCTCACAGGTTTCCCTGCCCCACAGGGTGCTCCGCCGAAGGCCCCATAGGCAGGGTCCGCATGCAGTTCCACCTCCAGTTCGGTGCACCTCACACGTTTCATGGCCTCACAGGGTGCTCCACCGAAGGCCACAGTGGCAGGGTCCGCATGCAGTTCCACCTCCATTTCGGCGCACACCGCACACTTTTCGTGGCCCCATAGGGCGCTCCACCGAAGGCCCTGTAGCGGCAGCACCCGCACACGGGTCCACCCTGCATTCGGGCGCACCCCTCAACGTTCCGTGGCCTCACATGGGGCTCCACCGACGGCTCCAGTGGCAGCGTCCGCATGGCGTACCCGTGTCAATTTGGGCACACCCGTCTCACGCGTCGTGACCCCAGAGAGGTTCACCGAGGTCAATGCCGACAACTGCGTCACTCACCACTCACATGGTTGGGTCCCTCGCCAGGACAATTTTGTGCCTTCGGGGAGAGACGAGAGCTGTTCTCAGGAGGCTGGGAGACTTCCGAGCCTTCTGAGAAGGCCCGCCCTCTCTCGCACTTTCCTCCAGGCCGCGCCGCCCAGTGCGGGCCCAGCCCGAGCCTCCTCGGCCCTTCCCAGCTCGTGCTTCCGCGGGGGCGCGGGCCTTCCTTTCGGGGTCGGCGCTCTGCTCCCGTCATTCAGGCTGTCGCAGGCCTAGAGATTGACACCAACACCAATTTCGGCGGTGTGCCTCCACCGAAGGAAGAAGATCCCGATCTCGGCGATGGTGGTAACATTCCGTCTTCCAAGGTGGCCGAACTATTGCCACCAACACCGAAATCCAGGATCATCTTCCCATGGTGGAGGCCGCCCCCCTGTGTTGGTGTTGGTGCCAATTTCTAGGCCTCCAACTCTTGCCACTCCTCCGGGTCCGAGTCCTTCATCGTTGCCCCCCCCTCCTTTTCCCTCCTCCGCCGTCCCTTGGTCCGTCTGCTCCTCTCGCTCCCTCCACGCCAGTGCCTGCTGGTGATCTCTGTGCTCCTCCTCCTCCTCCTCCTCCTCCTCTTCTGGCTGCTTATCCTCCTGCTCATCTGCCGCCTTCTCCAATGCACGCAGCTTCTAGTTTACGACCACTCATGCCACGTACATTTTTGGAGTTCTATGTCCGCTATGACACGCGTCGGCGGAAAGGGGCAACTCGGTGCAATGGGAAAGGGCGAGAGGGGTATGATGTAAGACATGTCGCGAGGATGCCTAGCTTGCCTTCCCTCTCTCTCTCTCTCTCCCTCTCCTTCGCACACCTCTGGCATACAAAGCAGCCGAAGACGACGTTCGACAACTGTAGGACACGGGTCAAAAGCAGGGAAAGGGAAGCCCCAAACAGATGAGTCGCACCGGGCATCCCGCCTCCCCCCTCCCTCTCTGCACCCTCTTCAGCCATCCCGAGACACCTGGAGACCTCCAGGGACCTCTGGAGAACTCCAGAGACCTGCAAGGACCTCGTCCTCCTCGACCCCCTCTCTCGCTCCTCCCTCCCTCCGTCCTCCCTGCCTCCGCTCGTCTCCTCGCGATGTGGGTCGCTCCCCTCGCCGCTGGTCCGGGGCCCGAAGGAAGCGGTGCTCTACGCGGATTGCTCCTTGCACGGCCCGACGGCAACACTCATGATGATGACCTGGATCTTGGTTCAGCCGTGGGCGATGCTCAGGCATCCCCTCAGGGGGGGTTGGAGGAGGAGGAGGAGGAGGAGGAGGAGGAGGAGGAGGAGGAGGAGGAGGAGGAGGCGGAGGCGGAGGCGGAGGCGGAGGCGGAGGAGGAGGAGGAGGAGGAGGAGGAGGCGGAGGAGGAGGAGGAGGAGGAGGAGGAGGAGGAGGAGGAGGACCTGCCACAGGCTCCGCTCGGCGGTCGGGGTGGACCAGGGGGACCTCTTGGCGCAGCCTGCGGCCTGCGCCCGCGCCTGCAGGCGCTGGAGGAGGCGCTGCGCGCGGAAGCGACTGCCCGAGGGCCGCGGCCCGACGACATTCGGGTTTTGGCTTACCCAGACGACTTGATCGTCCTCACACCGCCCGAGCTGGCTGCCGCCATCACCCTGGGAGCACAGGAGGCCCTTGGCGCCTTCGGCCTCGAGCTCCAGCCGCACAAGAAGCAGGCCTGGTCCCCGCACTCGCCGTGCCAGGCCGGGCTCGAGGAACAGTGGCGCCCGCGCGGCCTCGCGCTGGCGGGTGTTCCGCTGGGCGAGCCGGTGCCGCCGGGAACCTGCCGGACGCGACGGACGGGCGCCGCTTGGGCCTGGGGACGCCGGCCCACGCCGCCGAGCGCTGCGCCGAGGCAGCGGCGCGCGCGGCCGCACTGCTGGGGAGGCTTGCTGAGCTGCCTGGACTGGCTTCGCCACAGTTGCCAGCGGCGCAGGCGGCCGGGCTCCTCCTACGGCGCTGCGGCGCAGGGAAACTGGTTCACCTGCTGCGCACTAGCCCGGCCGCGACCGCGCAGGCCGCCGCCTCCGCCTACGACGCGGCCGCTCTGACGGCCCACCAGGAATTTGGCACACCTGGACCTCTTGACGGAGGGCCAGGGCGCCCACTGTCGGCTGCCGCTGCGCCTCGGCGGGCGCGGCTTCCGAAGCCAGGGGAGCTGGCCCCGGCGGCGTGGGCGGGCTGCTGGGCGCAGAGCTTGGCGGGCACGCGGGAGAGGAGCGGCCTGCCCGACTTGGCGGACCTGGGCACCTCTGGCCTGCTGTGGCCGCGGCCTGCCAGGAGGCGCTGACCGCGGCCAGCAGCAGGATCCCGCCGACGAGGAGAAGGAGGAGGACGCTCCGCCGCTGCCGCCCTGGCAGGAGCTTGCCCAGGCGCCTCGGGAGAAAGCTAAGAAAATGCACGCGCGTAGGCTCGACAAGGAACTCTTGAGGACCAGGCGCGACCCCGCTCCTGCGGCGGCGTCCACGCGGCCGGCTGGCAGCTGCGAGCGGCGGGCCCGGGCAGCGCTTGGGGGGCGACGACTACTTGGACACGGCGCGGGCGCTGCTGGGCCAGGACCTCGCGCCGCCCAACGGCCGCTGCCCGAACCAGCTGCGCGCGGGCGCGCGCGCCGGGCAGCCCTGCGGCCCGCCCCTCTGCAGCGGAAGGCGCGCCGCGCCTTCCGCTGCGTCTGCGGACGAGGCGCGAAAGTGCACTGCCTCGAGGTCGAAGACGTATGGAATTGCATTCGCGCAGAGTGTGGCTTCCAGACAGAGAGCGCGCCAGGTCCACGTCCAGGTTCGGGACCGTTGGCGCTGGGCGCGCACGTCGCCCGGCTGCGCAGCGCGCGGCCGCTCCAACGCCCCGCCCGCGGGGCCCTGCCAGGCCCGCGGAGCCGCGCGGCAGGCTCGCCGCGAAGGGGCGTTGCTCGACCTGCGGGCGCATCGGGCGGGCTGCCGTGCTGCTGTCACCGTCCGCTACAGTGTGTCGGGCAAAGCCCGCGCCCTGGCTCCCTGGCTTCGGCGGCGGGCGCGGGCGGCGCCGTGGCGCGGGAGGGGGAGACCGACGCGAGGAGTCGCCACCCCGCCGGCCGCGCTCCCCTGGCGCGTCCAGCCGCTTGCGCTGGGTGCGGCTGGGCGCTGCAGGCCGACTGCGCTGAGGCGCCTGCTCTGGCTGCCGCGCGAGCGCGCCCAATGGATCGGCGACGGGCCACAGGCCGTCGCCGTCGCCGGCGTCCTCGCCGCACGTTGGGGCGCAGAGCTCAGCGCGGCTCTGCGCGCGGCGACGGAGCGGTGGCTCCGGGCCACCCGCGGGCGCGAGGCCGCGCAGGCCTCGGGGGCGGCGTTGGCGGACGAGCTGGCGCGCTAGGCGCGCCAGCGGGGGTGCCCCGGGCTGGTTGGCGGGCCGTGGCGTCGCTCCTCGTGCGCAGACTGGCTGGGAGTGTGTGCGTTTCGGATCGGCCTTTTTTGTGCTTGCCAGGAGGAGGGCGAGGAGGAGAGGAGGACTGGGGGCAGGAGGGGGGGAGCAGGGTTGGGAGGCGTGTTCAGGTTTGGACGGTGATTGCGTGCGAAAAACCGACGCTACTACACATCGAAGACGCCAGCGGCGTCACACCGCCGCCCCGTTCTTTTTGGAATCGCCCGTGTCGTGAAATGGCGAGCGAAAGCGAGGCCACGCCGGCGGATAACGGGAAACGTCTTCGAGGTAATTACGAGAAGCGAGCTGGACGTTCTGGCTGAGTCTGCATCATATTTTCAAATCTCTTACTATATGGGGTTCGGCGCTGCACCGAATTTTTCGTTGGCGGATTCCCACAAGCAGCGAGATCGCTCGAAACATCTTCCGAACATGGATGTGTAAAACTTTTATTTGTAAACAAGTGGCATGTTCGTTCGAGACATCCCCAGAACATCGGGATGTCGAAAAATGTTAAGGATTTTGTTGTGCATGAAAATTAGCGTTTCGCCCGAGACATCCTCGAACAAGTGATCTGTTAGAAAAGCTGTTTTACCACTTCTCATATAAAACGTTGTGCTTTCGCTCGGGACATCCTCAGGAAATTGGGAGGGGCGCGGCAAACCGAAAAGAAGAGCACAGCAGAAACTGATCATTTCGCTGGGGACATCCTCAACAAAAATATGATGTTCGCAACATCGCTTCGACATCGTTTTCGAAGTGCTTCAAGACGAAGAAATGAGAACCCCCAAAGGAGCCCAAGATGACGAGTTATCTAGTCTTTCTGCCATGTTCCTGGTCTTCTTCTGGTTTGCTCCTTCGCTTTTGGGGCCTCTTCCGCCGTGCTTCTTAGCTCTTGGGGTCTATTCTGCCGTGCTCCTGTTTTTTTTTCTGCCGTGCTCCTTCGCTCTTGGGGCTTATTCTGGTCATTTTCTGCCGTGCTCCTTGGCTTTTGGGGTGTATTCTGCTGTGCTCCTGGCCTTTCTCTGCCGTGCTCCTTCGCAGTTGGGGCATATTCATCCCTGCTCTTTAGCTCCTGGGGTCCATTCTGCCGTGCTCCTGGTCTTTTTCTTCCGTGCTCCTTAGCTCTTGGGGCCTATTCTGCCGTGATCCTGGTATTTTTTGCCTGCTCCTTTGCTTTTGGGGTCTATTCTGCCGTACTCTTTTGCTCTTGGGGTCTATTTTGCTGTGCTCCTGGTCTTTTTCTGCCGTGCTCCTTCGCTTTTGGGGTCTATTCTGCCGTACCCCTTTGCTCTTGGGGTCTATTCTGCTGTGCTCCAGGTCTTTTTCTGCCGTGCTCCTTCGCTCTTCGGGCCTATTCTGCCGTGCTTCTGGTCTTTTTCTGCCGTGCGCGCCCAGAAGCTCCGCCAAAACGACCACCGCGACGATCCGCACGGCAGAATACAGGAGCACGGCAGAACACACAGAGCACACAGAGGCACGGCAGAACACAAGCACGGCAGAACAGAAGCACGGCAAAACACACAGGAACACAGCAAAACACACCCCGCACGCACGCCGACACGCGCGCCACGGCATACCTTCGCAGCGTAACAACAACAGAGCATATTCCACATGCTTGGTGGACTAAAGCGACGCTTCCCGTTCTTGTCCGGTCAGGTTGCACTCCACCCAGCCGGTTGGGAAACCGCTGGGGGAACACTGGGGAGGGGCCCTCTAGGGCCGTCTTGGCCATCGGCCCGCTCCTCGTCCTCCTCCTCCCCCTCCTCCTCCTCCCCCTCCCCCTCCTCCTCCTCCTCCTCCTCCTCCTCCTCCTCCTCCTCCTCCTCCTCCGCGGGCTCCAAGTCCGAAGCTTTCGTCCAGGCCACGTCGGCCTCCGCGGCCTCCGCCGCGCGGGGCCGCCCCCGTCCGCAGCTCCTGCCGCCCCAGCCCGCGCCGCGCGCGGCGCCCGCGGCCACCCCCGCCAGAGTCGTGGCCTGGGCCGCACGCCGTGCGCGCTGAAGGCGATGTGCTGTTCAGGGAAAAACAGAAGACTAGGGGGCCACATGCGAACCCTCCCCCTCCCCCCCACGATTTCTGAGGGGGAGGGTGGGGTAGGGTTCGCATGTGGCCCCCTCGAAGACCCTCCCGCCTCGTATACCCCCCCTGCGGCCTAAGTGCACCAGCCACGCCTGGCAGGACCGCCCGCTCCGCCGCAGGCAGCCCCATGCGTCCGCACAGCCGGCTCGCCGGCGCCGCCGCTTCCGCCAGACCGCCCTCGCCGCCGCAGCGGCGGGCGACCCGGTCCGTGGCTCAGCTCCAAGAGCGCCGCTGGTGAGCGCCTGCACCGGCTGCCGGATCCGGCGTCTCCGTGGAGCCCGCCGGCTCTTTGATCCGCATTGTGCTCGATGCCGTGATGTCACCAGCCTCGAACTGATCCCTGTCCCTAAGATTGGCACGCCAAAAGGCGATGACAATCTTAGGGATGCGCCCGGAAAAACTAGGGGATGCCCAGCTTAGGCATAGGGATATGTTCCAGGCTGGTAATGATGCGTCGAATTTGAGGCTCGCGTCGCTCTCTGCCTCCTCCACGAAGGTATCGCGGCGGCCGTCGGATCGGCCTCCGGTGGCCTCTGGTGGCCGAGGTGGCCGAGGAGCGCCCGCGCGGGTGCCGCGGCCCGGGCGGCGGCCTTCTCCAGAGAGGCGCTGGAAGCCCGAGGCGCTGGGAGGCGGTGCGACTGGTGGGCCAAGACAGGACAGGCGGAGGAGGAGGAGGAGGAGGAGGAGGGAGGAGGAGGAGGCGAGGAGGAGGATGATCAGGATGAGAGGAGGAGGAGGAGGAGGAGGAGGAGGAGGAGGAGGAGGAGGAGGAGGATACCCAGATATGCGATGCCAGTTTCTGTGTCAATGCGGGGTCCCCAGATTTCCCGACCCTTTCCCAAGGGCAGGTTTGTCACATTGAGTCCCGACCCTTCCCCCAAAAGTCCCAACCCGTTCCCCGAGAGGAGGGGGAGGGGGAGGGAGAGGAGGGGGGGAGAGGGTGAGGGTGACGGGAGACGGGAGAGGGAGGAGGGGGAAAAGCAGGAGCGGGACGGGGAGAGCGATAGGAGGGGGGCGGGCTGTGCTGACAAGAGGCATGCTCAGAGAGGTGTCACTACCATCCATGGCCTCAGGAGGCACGCAGTCGCAAAGCATCGCGGCAAACGTTAGACGACGAGCACGATGACGTGATGGTGGTGATGATTGCGACGACAACAGCGATTTTGATAGTGACGGCGTCGGTGAGGCGTGACCATGATGAGAACGAGTGAGGATGACGATGGCGAGAACGACGATGATGATGCTGATGATGCTGATGATGCTGATGCTGATGATGAGGATTCTGATGATGATCCTGAGGATGATGATACTGCTGCTGATGCTGGTGACGATGATGATGATGATGATGATGATGATGATGATGATGATGATGGTGATGGTGATGGTGATGGTGATGGTGGTGGTGATGATGATGATGATGATGATGGTGATGCTGATTACGATGATGAGGATGACGATTCTGATGATGATGATGCTGCTGATGCTTATGCTGATTACGATGCTGATGATGATGATCATGAGCTGATGCTGATGCTGCTGATGATCATGACGACTGATGATGCTGCTGCTGATGATGATGATGGTGACGACGTCGGTGAGGCGGGACCATGATGATAACGAGTGAGGATAACGATGGCGATAACGACGACGACGGTGATGATGATGATGATGATGATGATGATGATGATGATGATGATGATGATGATGGTGATGGTGATGGTGATGGTGATGATGCTGATGATGATGATGATGCTGCTGAAGCTGGTGCTGATGCTGATGCTGATTATGATGAGGATTACGATGACGATGACGATGACGACGATGATGATGATGATGATGATGATGATGATGATGATGATGATGATGCTGATGATGATGTTGATGATGATGATGATGACGATGATGATGATAATGAAGAGGATGATGATGATGATGATGATGATGATGATGATGATGATGATGATGATGATGATGATGGTGATGATGATGATGATGATGATGCTGATGATGATGTTGCTGCTGCTGATGATGATCGATGATGGTGATGATGATGATGGTGATGATGATGATGATGATGATGATGATGATGATGATGATGATGATGATGATGATGGTGGTGATGATGATGATGATGATGATGATGATGATGATGATGATGATGATGATGGTGGTGGTGGTGGTGGTGAGAGGAGGAGGATGAGGAGTAGGAGAAGGAGGAGGAGGAGGAGAAGGAGGAGGAGGAGGAGTAGGAGGAGGAGGAGGAGGAGGAGGAGGAGGAGGAGGAGGGGGAGGATGATGAATGACGCGGGAGTGCGACCGGCAGATTCATCTTCACTTTCTTCCCCTCCCCCCCCGTCCCTGCAAGGCGGGAAATGATACACCTCGTCTGGGTGTGGCTGTTCGGCGTCTACCTGGTCTGGAGCTTCTTGGCGCGCCCCGCCGCCGCGCGGGCGACCCCGTGTTCACTTTCCTGTTCTTCTCCCTCCTTTCTACCTTCATCCCTTTTCCCATTTCTTCTCCCTCCTCCTTCAGCCCCCTCCTCCAGCCTTCTCATCCGGCCTCCTCCTCTGGCCTCCTCCGCCAGCCTCCCTCTCCTCCTCGTCCTCTTTTCCCCGTTCCCCTCATGCCTCCCTCCTCCTTCCCGTCTTCTCCTCAGTTCCTTCCTCCTGCTTCTTCTCCCCCTCTTTATCCTCCTCCCCCTGTGCATCCTTCTCTCCGTCCTCTTCCTTCCTTCCTTCCTTCCTTCCTTCCTTCCTTCCTTCCTTCCTTCCTTCCTTCCTTCTTCTCCCGCTCTTTCCTCTCCTCGTTCTATGTACCCTCCCCTCCGCTCGAGGCGAGGTACATCGTTGGCATCAGGCTGTTCACGAACAGGGACCGTGCAGCCTGCTGCCCCTCCCCAGTGAGAGCGTGGATAAGGAGCAGGAGGAGGAGGAGGAGGAGGTGGAGGAGGAGGAGCAGGAGGAAGAGGAGGAGGAGAAGCAGGAGGAGTAGGAGGCGGAGGAGGAGGAGGAAGGGTAGGATGAGGAGGATGAGGAGGAGGAGGAGGAGGAGGAGGAGGAGGAGGAGCGAGGAGCGAGGAGCGAGGAGCGAGGAGCGAGGAGCGCTGAGCGAGGAGCGAGGAGCGAGTCGTGTGGAGGAGGAACGAGGAGGAGGAGGATGAGGAGCAGGAGGAAGAGGATGAGGAGAAGCAGGAGGAGTAGGAGGCGGAGTAGGAGGGAGGAGGAGGAGGAGGAGGAGGAGGAGGAGGAGGAGGAGGAGGAGGAGGAGGTAGGGAGGAGGAGGAGGAGGAGGAGGAGGAGGAGGAGGAGGAGGAGGAGGAGGAGGAGGAGGATGGGAGGAGGAGGAGGAGGAGGAGGAGGAGGAGGAGGAGGTGGAGGAGGAGGGTGGAGGAGGAGGAGGAGAGGAGGAGGAGGAGGAGGAGGAGGAAGAGGATGAGCAGCAGGAAGAGGAAGACGCGGAGGAGAGGAAAGAGAGGAGGACGATGGGAGGGATCAGGATGATGAGGAGGAGGAGGTGGAGAGGATGAGGTGGAGAGATGAGGAGGAGGAGGAGGAGAGGAGGCAGGAGGAGGAGGAGGAGGAGAGAGGAGGAGAGAGGAGAAGGAGGAGGAGGAGGAGAGGAGGAGAGCGAGAGCGAGGAGTGAGGAGCGAGGAGCGAGGAGCGAGGAGCGAGGAGCGATGAGGAGGAGCGAGGAGCGAGGAGCGAGGAGCGAGGAGGAGGACGAGGAGGAGGAGGATGAGGAGGAGGAGGAGGAGGAGGAGGAGGAGGAGGAGGAGGAGGATAGGATTGCGCTTCGTTGAATGCGAGTCCAACTGTCCGTGGTATAGAAGGAATCGCGCTTGCTATCGCATTCTTTCTGCTGTCAACGGCAGTAGAACTTGAAATGGGGCACATAGGGGTTATGAACGCGTCTAAGAGAAGAAACAGGGCCGATAGGAGGAACCAATCAGGGGAACACTTCCTAAGTCCGTGCCCCTGTTTTGAAAACGGCAAACTCCACCCTGGACTCGAAGCTGCAAGCTCCAGACTCGCCCGACCCGCAATGCCTCACGAATGGTCACCGCCCAGCCTTGCTCACGGCTGCTGCGCCAGCCCTGACACGTCAAGCTCGACGAGTATAAAAGAAGAGAGGCAGAGGAAGGGGAGACGCGGTCTTGACATCTGTGCTGGCCCCTGGACGCAGCACATGTTTGAGCTGGATCCTGCCCAGCCCGCCCAAACATCTTATCACCGCCCAGCCCCGTTGAGCCCGTCCCTCTCCATGATGATGATGATGATGATGATGATGATGATGATGATGATGATGATGATGATGCTGATGATGCTGATGATGCTGATGATGATGATGCTGATGATGATGATGCTGATGCTGATGATGATGATGATGATGATGATGATGATGATGATGATGATGATGATGATGATGATGATGATGATGTATGCTTCTGCGCCGCGCGCGGGCGGGGCCGGGCCACGGCGCTCCTCCTCCTCCTCCTCCTCCTCCTCCTTATCCTCCTCCTCGCTCCTCCTCCTCCTCCTCCTCCTCCTCCTCCTCCTCTTCCTCGGCCTCCCTCCTCCTCGTCCTCCTTGGCCTCCCTCCTCCTCGTCCTCCTCCTCGTCGGCCTCCCTCCTCCTCCTCCTGCTCCTCCTCCTCCTCCTCCTCCTCCTTCCTCCTCCTCGGAACACGAAGGTCGGAAAGGACACTTGGGAGGACGGACAGGATGTTGGCCAGGATATCTGACCATAACGCCGTCCCATCCCATCCCAGCTCTCGGCATCCCATCCCTCGTGCCGAGAGCGGCTGCGCCCTCTTGGCGCCAGGCAGGGCGGAGGGGGTGGAGGGACGAGGGAAGGTGATGCGACATTCGCAAGAAGGAGGCGTAAAGGAGAGGAGCTTGGCTCGCTAGCCTTAGTGTCAGCCTTAGTGTCGACGCAACCTCCGCTCGTCCAATGCCAGCGTCTGCGTTCTCCTACTCTCCACCCCCACCGCCACTGAACCGCCCTTCTCTGACACATCACCCTGGTTGGTTGTATCCAGATTTCATCGGTTGCTGAATTACGGGCAAAATCTGCTGGTTAAGCTTTGACTGCTGACTGACATGCTCCATGGCGTCATCGAGGCTGCGACGCTGCGCGCACGAAACTGCCTACTCGCTGCTCAATGTCAACTGCTTGAACCAAACGTGGGTTCAAGCCGCCCTCTCCCCCCTGAATCTTTCGCCCGACCCACCGTGGGTCTTCCCTGGGCCATGAGGCGGGTTGACACATCACCTTTCTGAGCTGAAGCTGGCGGTACCGCTCCAGCTTCCCTGCGAACCTGCCGTGCAGGTGCGCCCTCTCCCCTGCCACTTCGCCGCCCTGTGCGCTTGCCCACTGCAGGTCGGCTTGCGTGGCGCTCCGGGCTGGCTTGGCGGCTGTCTTACTCGCACTGTGCTTATTACCGAGGCTGGTGGATCGGCACCGACTGTTTATTTGCATTGCCGTCGGTCCAGGATCATCATCGGGAAGGAAAGCAAAACCTTCTCGCACGAACGGCTTCGCCCCCAACCCCCCTTGCCGTTTCGCCTCCTCCTTCCGCCCACACCCCCCTTTCCCCCCCTGCCCTCTCCTGCACTCCTGCTCCTCCGTCTCCCGCTCCTGCTCCTCCTCCTTCCCGTGCCTCCCCCCCTCCCTCCCAGCCTGCGCTGTCCTGCTCCCCTCCCCATCCCCCCCTGACCCCTCCCCTTCTCCCCGTGTCTCGATTCCCCTCCCCATTTTCGAGTAGGAGATCGACTACAGAATTGAGTCACCCCAAACTTGGCTTCCCCGCCGAATCTACTCACGCGAAAAAGCGTAG